AACAATGACCACGCCAAGCTTTTACTCCATGCCAAAGACATGGTTGACCATATCCTCTCGACAGCACGGATTTTGTACACAAATACTCATTCTGGGTTTGGAGGTTACCACTGGAAGTATTGGATCCCATCTCGTTTGCCCTCGACACCTTACCATGCCCAAAAAGTATACCGCGTGACCGATCCTATTAGCAAAGTACTTGGCCAAGCTTCCGGATATTATTCCTCTATTATGGATCGATTTTGCCATGGCGACAGCGACTTCCAGGAAGACCCTATTATTGGACACACAGATGAAAATGACTTTTTTAAGTGGATAATCCATATGAATACTGCAATAGGAGCAGGATCACCCCTTCTCGCATCACCCGCACCACCACCTTAGCTAGCGCTATCGACACATCTTCCTTTTGTTTTGTTATAATCTTCAATGCGGAAATTAGCACAAAGAATATGGCTACGAAATAAAAATGCACGTACATGGTGAGCTACAATCAGCCGTGGTAGAAAGCAATAATCACGATGTGAGAGATATAGTCACTACTTTGCAACAGTCCTCTGCGTAGTTGTTGTATCCAAGAACATGAGTTGTTTGATTATACGCGTGTTACAATATGTAGTAAATGATGTTTTGAAAGATGAAAGCAATTATATGTACATAAGAATACAGGTGACGGAATTACATGAGGAACAAAGAATAGATGATACATCATTGGAGGGATAATGTGCACAATGACAAAGCTGACGAAAATAACACATGTGTAGAAATCGATGATTCACCAAGTTGTATAGTTGACGCAGGCATATATGGGATACACTGTTTAGCTTTCAAAATGACAAGGCAAAGTAGATGAATTGATATCACTGTACCATACCTAGGACTGCAAAGATTTCACATTGGATATGACTGTGTCGCGCCATTGCAAAAGCAATTCCAGCTTCGCAGCAAATTCCTTCAATTCTAGTTCCGTGGTTGGCAGCTTGAACTACATTCATTAAATCAGCCGTTGTCTTAGTGTAGATGATGCCATGTCGTTACCTCCATGATATTTTTGCGGACGTATTTGTCCTCTGCATTGACCAAGATATCCAACGTGATGCTCATTTCTACAAATGCAATGATTAATAAAAGGTTCAGCTATATGCATTTTCTCTCCTTACCATGGTACAAAATACAAAACACTTTCCCGCAGTGAGCGCTTGAATACTTTGAGTTTGCATCAACCATGTCCTTGGCATGGAGTAGGAGCTTTGCGTGGTCGCTGTTCTTCTTCAACTTGGTATGTGTGCGGATACCACCAGCAAATTCTGCAACCATCGGTACAGCACCCGAGCATCCATCATCAACTGCCAAACCAAGGCCATCCCATTTGACAGAGCCAGACGGCTCAACGCTAACCTCAATCCTAGTAATATCCCCATATTGTCAATAACATGATGACACTTCAACATGTTTCCTACATACCATTTAAGTTTGAGTGTATCATTGCAGGAGAGAAAGAGCGTGTTGATGAGGAAGATGGTGGTGGAACAAGCAGCTGTGCGTTCAAGGGAGCGTTCATGAAGGATTTTTACAGGTGCTTGGATGAGGTCGAGGCTAGGAAAGTACAAAAAATCAGAATACACAACAAGCTGGAAACCCATGACTGATACTTACAAGTGGTGCATTAGCTTTTCAGCAATGCGGAAATCGGCATGTGCGTAACAATCATAGTCGGCTGGTGACACAGGCGAAGTACGGATGGCGACTTGAAGGTTATGCTGCGTTGGTGAGCAGGCTACAATCTGCTCGATGTATTGGATGAATACGCTTGACCTTATGGCAGGCTCCAATGCAAGACGCTTCTTGATTCCCTTGTAGCATGATGTCTCCTTCAAGATCATCTTCGTCGCCTTATCCCAGTCAAGGATGTCATTGACCATGATGCTATGTTTTACATGTTAACGATGACATTCAAATGATGATTAACTATAAACTTACCTGCTTGAATTTGGCTTTGGCAATGTTGACACCAGCTCTGCTGCTTCATCCATAGACATCTTCAGCTAAAATGCACGTTTCTTTGTAAATTTCTCTCGTATATTATAAATGCCAATGTGAATCCACTCACCTTCTTGGCATTGTCAACAATGGTGGAGCACATGATATCATTCAAGTCGTTCACAGCGTCAAATTGCCTTTTATTCAAGCGTGAAAAGGCTTCGCTGGAACTCGCGCCTTGTTGCTGGTCGTCACGATGTTCATCACCTTTGCCCCAGAACTGCGTATACTTGACAAAAAAAGCAGACATCTCGTTACTACCCTTCCCCTTGCGTTGCTATTATAGAAAGATTTAGTGAAGATGTTTCATGATCCAATCATCTTTTTGGCTTACCTGGAACGTTTTTTGCGCTTGTTTGGCAAGCTTCACCACTTGGTGGTCGGGGCTCTTTAGCAGTGTGTTCAAGATCGATCCATAGTGCGCGTTCGTATCTCTCTCTGAAAGTTGACAGTGTCGGGCAAAGGAGAAGTAGTCAAGATCCGCAGTTTGTGCCACCCAATCACGATATGCGTAATCCACCAACTGATCGTCAGTCAAATGCATGCTATCCACCTTGATGTTATTGCTTTTCTTGATGATTTAAGAGTACTAAGGTACGATAGAGATAGCAACTTACAATGAAAAAAGCTAAAGCAGGAAGGAACCATTTGGTCGCGAGTTATTAATTTAATATTTCAACAACATGTAATGGCTTACTCAAGGGTAAATAAAACGGATGTGGTGTTTCGAGGTCAAAGGATCAATATAGAGGGCTTGAGTTGGCTCGTATAGGTAGCAAAGATGAGTGAGTATGGAAACTTGAGATTATGGCAAAGCAGTTGGTCTTGTCGACGGTGAAAGAGGTGTCGTATCTTGCTTCCAAGGCAATTTGATTGATATCCTTGGAGATTAAACTTAGGCAACGTGGCACGTTAGCAAAAAAAAATGATCACGATCGCATACGCAAAGCGTGTCAAGCGCATACAGGTATGATTTATGCAAGGTAGGGTCGCTGCGTGTAACAGGCAACTGAAACCAAGGAACTATGGAGCATCGCTGCAGCGCTAGGTGATATACAATCACTGTCAGCGTCAGTATGTATGCGTTATTCTTTAGCAATGGTCCCATCGCTCTTTCCCAACCCCATTTTAAAACGATTGTAATGCGACACTTGTCTACAAAAAGTTATTGCCACCTACATATACAACTTCTTTGTTGGCACTAAAATGGATGATACGTTGCACGAAGTAACCATCCTGCTGCGCTTATCCATCATCAGAAGATTACAGCATATGATCACTCACTGCATGATGTCTTCCATTCGCCACGCAACTCGATCACATTCGGTGAAATGACTACTCAATGTTTATGCAGGATGAACTTTGGCGTAAATCGACGATGAATAAGTTTTATTGGTGATCCTCAAGAAGAATAAGAGCTTGCTAGTGCTATGGAAATGTGCACCATAAACAATGTCATGCATGTGCCATCAACCTCAATCAAAGTTGCAAATCAGGGTGGCACCTTCTGTACAACTTCACGTTCATGCTTCGTTGATGTTGTTTGAAACGACTGGGTTTTAAAAACAGGAGTGTGGGCTGCTCTTTCTTCCACCACCAACATTCCGCAGTCAGTGAACCAGCACCGCCTTTCATCATCAGTATTCTCCTTCTTGTGGCAAAATGGCGATATACGATTGTACCAGCTCCTATTCTATACAATTACTCAACTGACAAGACGACATTGTGGGGCGCGAATCATTCTTCCAGTATACAATCGACACAATTGGTTGTGGGTGTCGTTGAAGGTAGGCTCCTATAGAAAGCTCGTGTCTTCCAAAAGGTAAACTTACAATGTCGCCTTTTAGTCCGTTTCCAAGCAACGACGCATTGCTACTTTGATCCATGGGCTTCTGCCGTGCACTTGTTCAACCATGTGTAAGCTGGCGATGCCTAAAACACTGAGACCACTATTGCCTTGCTTGTCACGCTACCGGTGGGTAGAGCTTTTGCTGAAGCGTTCAACCGCGGACGCGAACCTCTAGTAGTGTGGATCTTTGTATGCATTACATTGTCAACGAATTGGGTGTTGCCAAGGTAAATTTGTAAAGGATGGTTACTAGCAGTACACTGATTACCATGGATACACACACTTTCTGCTGTAGTTCTTCTTACCAAGCATCGGTGCACTGCTACTTTGATCCATGGGCTTCTGCCGTACATTTGTTCAACCATTTGTAAGCTGGCGGTGCCTAAAACACTGAGACCACTATTGCCCTGCTTGTCACGCTACCGGTGGGTAGAGCTTTCGCTGAAGCGTTCAACCGTGGACGTGAACCTCTAGTTGTGTGGATCTTGTATGCATTACATTGTCAACGAATTGGGTGTTGCCAAGGTAAATTTGTAAAGGATGGTTATTAGCTGTACACTGATTACCATGGATACACACACTTTTTGCTGTAGTTCTTCTTACCAAGCATCGGTGCACTGCTACTTTGATCCATGGGCTTCTGCCGTGCACTTGTTCAACCATGTGTAAGCTGGCGATGCCTAAAACACTGAGACCACTATTGCCTTGCTTGTCACGCTACCGGTGGGTAGAGCTTTTGCTGAAGCGTTCAACCGCGGACGCGAACCTCTAGTAGTGTGGATCTTTGTATGCATTACATTGCCAACAAGTTGTATGCGGATATCAATTTACAAGATAGAATTTGAAATCACATATAAATGCATTACATGATAAATTCCCAATACTTGTTCGGTGCGCAAGATTTGTTTGTAAAATGACCCTGTGCAAATTAGCTGTATTAGATGTTCGAGTTATAAGTCACTGGAAGAAACGTGTAGTCATGCGTGCCAAGTGTGTTGGCATTTTTCATCCGTATCTCAAGAGAATTGGGGTATGAAGTAATCAGCACTTGGATATCAACCAATCCTTGTGCTGCAGCTGTCAGGTTGATCGGAACGAAAAGCTACCACCTTACGCTACCTAGAAATCTTTTAAGAACAAAAGTGAGATAACCTGATACTTTTATTTTTGATGGCAACATAAATCTACAAAAAGGAATGCTTGAAGCCATTGGCATAAAGGACGCCCTTTCCCATCTCATCATCATCATAACCAAGCATTCAAAGTTCCACTTGACTGAGTTTTTCATCCGTCAGAA